TACTACCTTGGCGCGGCTGTGGCTAACCCAACTGGTGGGCTGTTTGGAGGTGACTGTGGCTCATGTACGGCACCTGGGGCCGACTGGTAGGTGCTTGGCGGCGGTTTTGCGGTGGGTATTTAAATGCTTGGGGGTTTTTGCTTAGGCAGCTGCTCATAGCATGTGGGCATGTGAGACGTATTATAACACTCCTTGTGAGGAGAGAGATTTGTAGCCAATCACATCAAAATGTGCGGTGATGTCAGGGGTATTCCATGTCCCCGAACGCCATGAAAGCCATGTACAGTTGCGGTACGGTAAGGTACGGTAACGTGTATAGCCATGCAGGTACGAGGATGAACTTCACCTCTTCAATGTCGCGTCTGAAGTACCTCCTTCATGTCTGTCCACGGAATCGCTTCTCTCCGCAGGTCTACAGCCGCTGGTTTCGGAGGCTGCTGGATTAGCAGCTGAAGTGCTGCAAGTAAGGATCTGTGCTGCTGCTGATGTCATGATGAAGTGCAAGCCTTATAACCCCTCTACCAACTTCATTTTTCTGGGCTAGGAAAATCGGGGTTGGACATCGTAATGACCGCTGAGCGATCCCACCCTCCCTCGCGGCAACCGATACTGGTCGCAACCAACAACCAACCAACTGCTAAACAACCGCTCGTCCCAACTGATTTTCTTTGGAGATGTCAAGTCATCGCACATGCGGAAAGTGTGGCTTCTACCTTAAGGCAATGCTTTCCGGTGCCCCTATATCCTTGCCGTATGCCATGCTAAACCGTATGCTGCTCGGAGCAGCTTGTTGGCAGCAGCTGCGCAAGCATCAACGTTGCCAGCGACGGAGGTTCTATTGGCGGCATTGGCGGCGGCCGGGACGCAATCGTTGTCGGGATGGCACACGCCGCCGCCCGCCTTGTTGCCCGTACGGCAGACTGCATGAGTACAACGTCGTTGGCGGCGCTGGCACCTGCGCTGACGTGGCTTGCACAGCACGGGTGGCCGTCGGCGGCAGCAGACGTGGCAGCAGTGGCGGCACACTGTAACTCGCCACCACCCGAGGTTGGTGAAGTACCTTTCCGTACTACTGGACTATCCATCCTTCGCAACCAGCCTTGGCCATCATAGGAGATCCCAGTTGCTCGTACGCCATGATGCGTAAAAAAGATGAATTTTGGCCATCGGCGGGCGTTTCACTTAGTCGCTAAAGGTTGGCTCCGAATTGTCGCAGCTATGCACTCTAAAAAACGGGGCCTGGCCGTGACCAGCCCTATAAGCATCCATGCCCCTGCTGCCCTTGCAGACACAGGGTAACAAGATGCCTTATGAGGGCGCGCCGCAGTCTGGTGTATCCCGTACTTGAACCCGCCGTCTTTTATCTCTGGGTCCCCCCCGCAGGCGCTGTTTCACGCGCTGTTACGCAACTCACACGCCGCCGTCTTGCACGTTGCGCTCCAGAGCCAAGTTCACGTGTGCCGTACAGTTCCACAGCAGCATGCCGCAAGTGTACGGCGTCTTTTCCCGCCGGACTTTGCACCAGGGACGGCGGCAGGGCCAGCAGCGGTACAAACACAGTCCCCAGCTGGGGGACCCCCGCTGCAACTAGCTGCCGTATTTAAATCGTACATGTCGCGACGGGTCGGTGATGATGAGGCGGCGGCGGTGCTGGCGGCAGCACCACAGATTCGTGCGGCGGAAGGCGAGCTGCTGGCGGATGGTCTCAAGAGGGCCAAAAATGCTGCTGCTGCTGTGGACAGTGAGGTATCGGCTGCGGCTGGGGCAGTAGCGGCGGCGGCTGCGCAGGGGCAACCAACGGCATTGTCGGTTCTACGGGAGGCGGTCCGTCGCGGTGCTGATGCGTTTCAAGTGCGTGCATGCATGTGTGTTTATGCATGTGTACATCGCGTCGTATTGCCTTTTCGGATTGCGGCTAGGTCTCGTGTCTCTCCATATCGGTTATATTCAGTTGGATTCGGTTGTATTCAGTTGCATTTAGTTACCTCACAACGAATAGGTCATCACAGGTTCCAGCGCAGCTTCGCCCATCTCAGTCCGGCCCTCAGGAGTCCCCCATCTAATCCCCGGTGTTGTGCCTAGTTGATACCCCGCCCCGCTGCCACGACGCCAGAACAGCCAGCAAGGGGCACAGCAGCTCATATTGGTGACTGGCATGGACGCAGTGGGCATCGATGTTGACTTTGCCCTCCTCGGTGGTCATCTTGCACCACCGACTCCGTGTTGCTGCGTCCCCCGACCCGCACGTGTCCCGCAGGCCTGCATGGTCACACTGATCACCTTGCACCGCACTGTACTTCAGGAGAACTGCAGCGCAGGGAACGCCAGGAGCCTTACGGTGATGGGGTGAAGGATGAGGGCAATGAGCATGGGCGGAGGGTGGAGGGGGAAGGGGGGGCGAGACGAACCACACAGACAAATGATGCTGATTCTTGAGATTGACAGATATTCCAGGACAAGACAGGGAAGGGGGCCTTCAGCCAAGAATGACGCAATGACGTTTGTAGCCATTATGATTGCATGGATGACTGCAGAGCGTACCTCGTTTCGGCTTTTGTTTTGCTTTGGTGGTTAGCGGTTTGTTTTCACACGTTCCTAGGTCTCCCGGTCTCCACCCCGGCCCCGCCCTGGCCTCGCCTGGCCCCACGCAACACGACGTATTAGCTCTCCTGCGAAATTTCTTCCATGCCGTCTGTAGGCACACAGGATTATGGGAAAGGTCAGAAACCCGCCGGTTGCTGTACACCCCGGTCTGCAGGTGTTGTACGCCGCAATGCACTGCCCAGTATGCCTCCCTCTGAATGCACCTTCCCTGGGGCGTCACTCGCTGGCAGCCCCCCCCCCCAGCGAACCCCTCTCCTGCCGCCCTGCCTGATTCCATGCATGGCATGCAGGTGATGGATGCAGCCGATTCTAGGCTCGAAGCTTTAGGCAGTTGTGGCGGCGTTCAGCACAACCAGCTCAGTTCCCACCAGCAGCTCCACATTCCAAAGCAGCAGCGGCAGCCGGGGGCCCAGGCGGGGGGGCCCCTGGCGCCCCTGGTTGCGGAGGATAATGCGGCGATGGCCGTGCTTAAAAGTGCGTTGGGCGGTTTAGAGAGGTCGTTGGGGGCGCTGCACACCGCCGTGGTCACCCAGGGCGTCAACAAGGGTCGAGTCTCTGATTGGGACCAACTGCAGGTGTGTGGGAGTGCGTGCGTTGGAGTGCGAGGACGGGGGAGGAAGCATATTTAATAGCGACCTTAATATCCTTGCACGGGCTTGTTTTGTTGGTGTTCCTTGTCCTTGCTGTCCTTCTGTCGTGGTTCTCGCATCTAAGGCTCAGATATTTGAGACCCGCATGTATGTGTGTATGAGAGTATGTATGTACGTATGTATGTATTGAGTATGATGTAGGTTGGTATGTATGTATTAGGTAGGTCGGTAAGTAAGTAGGTGGTGTATTGATGTGTATCCATATTTGCAGGTCCATGCTAAAGCGCTGCTCGGTGACCTCTCAAGCGCCACCTCTCGAATCCGCAACATGAACGAGCTGCTCTACACGCTTCAAGGGCGCTGATGAACTGCTCGAGACCTTACTAAGGGGCTTCTGTATCTTGAACGAATATCTTGAATGAAGATTGTTTTTTGTATTGTGTTGCTGGTGGTGGTTCGGAGAGGAGAAGGATCAATTGTCCGAGCGAGACTTGGGTCGCCGCCGCCAGCAGCTTGGAGCGAGGAGCGAGGACAGAGAGAACACAGGAATGTGCGAGGCAACCGACAACATGGCAAGCGGAGTTTCTGCACCGTCGGATGTCTCACCTAGGACCCGTTGGAGGCAATAGCTTATTATTATCGCCTTGCTCTCCATCTTAACCGTGCGGACAGTGGACAGCTAGGGGACGCATCTGGTAATGTGGCGAATCTTACATCAGGAGAGGCTGCTACCTCACCTGCTGTACATGAATAGGCCGTGCTTCTGAGCAGTACAATATTCGCAGTGTAAGACCGGCTATTTTGTTGTTTGATGAGGCTGCAGACCTGCAGACCTGCAGACTGCAGACTGCAGGCTGCAGTTGTGTTTGTATCCATCACTGAATGCGCCCAAGGAGCAGTGCTAAAAAAACTCTCCTTTTGTGGTGCCTTTGGTCGGATCCTGTTGTTTGACTGTGCCACCATCCTGTCGCCTCTGAGGCTGGTGTTGATGTACCATGTACAACACTTGCAGCGGAAGCAAGGAGGTACCTGGACAAGCAGGACTCTAAACTTTGTCGCATTGTCTAGTGCTGAGCCTACACCGGCATGAGCTGGGTACGAACTGGACATGGATTCAGGGATGTGCTTCACCACTTCTTCACAACCTTACCTCCCTCCCGGTAAACCCGCATCTTTAGGTCACCACACAAGGCTGCACACTCCTAACGAACCAGTGGAAAGCAGCACAACGTTTCGCGATTCGCATCCCCTGGATTTTGCATTTTGTGGTGTCGTGTAGCAAGGTTCAATGTGAAAGGACGTGTATTATTATGTCGTACACATAGCAAATCATAAAATTTCGTCAGCCATTGAGCGCTTAAGAAGTCGTCGTTCGCTAAGGAACAATGTATGTACAGCCAGGCTGGGCAAGGAGATGTGCGCACAGGCCCAACACGAAATAGAGGCTTGAGATTCCGGGCTTCCTAACTCGCCTTGCAGGACAATACACGATAACCCAGCAGCCCGTACTGCAGCTCCGCCCCGACCCCAGTGCTGCTGGTCCTGTACAAATTTTTTCTATACCAGCGTAGGACACATCCCCATACCCATACCATGCCGAAACCCTTACCACGAGCTGTAATTTTGTTAATACTAGGAAGGTCTTCACCAACGACTTGCCCAAATCACCCAAAGGAGGTCGGGCTACCGTAACACCATTGCGACGTCCTTTGTGCCGCCCTAGGAACTGTCATTGTAACACTTCTATGTGCATCTTCACCTCCACCTCCACCGCACGAAACAGTCAACCAACTTGACCCCGACGGATCATCTACCGCTACGGCCATCACCAATTCTTACTCCAGACCTTTGAACTGTTATGGAAACTTGCTTCGATGCCTGACGGTTGACGCCAGGACGCACAGGCAGTGGCGGCTGCGGCTGGTACTCTGGGCAATACGTGGGGTATTGCCATGGCGGCAGGTCGGGTAGCGCTGGAATGCACTCATACACCACCTCCGGCTCCACCTCGATCCCGAACTTGGCTTTGTACGACTCCCACTGCCGTATTCTGTCTTCCTGGCTAGCGAGCTTGAGTATCTCGCGTCCCTCTGCCTTCGCTTCTGACGGCGGATTCAACACCTTTCAAGACATGGATGGGCGCATGCGGGACGCATATATTGGAGTACCGGATCCTAACGGTTGCAACGAATAACAGAAAAAATATTTGGAAATCTCGAGATCTAAATAAAGGATGGGAAAAGGAAACTCCGAGGAAACAATAAGCACTGCTGTACGAGGCGAGGGGCACGCTTGCAGAGCAGACATCCAGAAGTCGGGTCTTAACCCTGCATGCTCAGCTCCCAGGCAAGCTGCCAAGTTTTACAGTATCTCCTAACATTTTATACCACTTAGCAACAATTGCTTTCAGAAACCTCACGTACCTACCTCAAAGTCATGCAGTACGGCAAAGCGATTCCGAAGCCGCGGGCCGAGCACCGCCAAGTAGGCATAATCGACTCCCCACCCCATCAACTCGCCGCTGTACAATGGACTTTCCAGAACTTCCCGGAGCTTATCTGATCTGCGAGGAGGTGGGACATGGGGTTCGTGTTTGTAGTGAGTGTGGGAGGACGGGTAGGAAGGAAAGTGGGGGGACTACCTGAGGAACCACAATAACGAAACACCGTGCCGTCGACGCCGTGACCCCCCGTGCCAACCTGAACACACACGCGTTGTTCTCCACGAACGATGTGTACGACAGCCGTAGCATGGGCTGATTTACCAGCAGCGCGTGATCAACCTTGCTGCCGTACCGCAAACTGGGTTGGGCGAGCCAGATCCCATCCGTGTGGCCGGGAGGGCCCGACAGCTCTGAAAAGCGCTCAAACATGCCGCTGACCTGCCGCCGGGATTGTCAGGATGTAAGTGGTTGGCGGTTAGCGGTTGGGTAAAGGCGGTTGGCTACATCTGGTTCTTTCCTAAGAGTGCTTTGGGTACTGTTGAGATAATGATGGAGATTGGGTGATTCGGGGGAAGACGCTGGGCATATGTGGGGGACCCTGTCAGGCAGAATCAGGAACGCAATGCCGTACATTAATGATGTGTTTACAAATCCGTGTGTACTACGTGCCGTACATGTGCCGCCGTTGCCTCCAGATCGTCATCCCAGACCGCCACGGCATCGTAGCTGGCGAGCAGCCCCGGATGGAGTGAGTGGAGCTTGTACAGGTTTTGATGCTTGGAACCATGAGCACGATACACATAGTCGGGGCGGCCGCCGGAGGCGCCAGCGACCCACGGGTCTGTAGCAAGTCTGGAGCTGGCGCCAGGGATTCCTCCGCAGACCTTCGAGCCGGTGCTATCAGTACATCTGGTACCGACCCGTGTGTCAGTGACGCCAACGCCTCCAGTGGGGCCGCCACGGACCCGTGGGTCGTCAAGGTCCAGAACTCCGTAGTACGCGACCAGTAGGTCATAGTTGCGATTGGGGTTGGCCCACATTCGCCATATGCCCTGTTGTCATGGTTATGTGGAGTGCGACAATGTTACTTCGTCAACAGTAAGGTGGTGGGAGTACGCTGTGGTTTGACGTGTTGCGCAATATTCCCCTCTTAACTTCTCAGATAGGCAGGTAGAGGAGGGAGAAAGACGAGAGAACGAGAGAGAAACCAAAATATTATCAGAGGAAAATGGATTCCTCCGGAAATGTGGCGACGACGACAGATCTTCCACGGAAGAGCCACGCACCGGAGGCACACACCTAAGGAAGAGGTGCTGCTAGGACTTCTTTAACCGTGTAGAGAGGAAAAGGTTCAGTCACAATGCAATCGTGTAGAAAGTAATGGCGCCGCCAAACCACCCTCCACTGTCGTACATTACTATAAGTGCATTACAGACGTCATACGGATCCCAAAATGCACGGCCCTTGTTTTCATGAGGAGTTTCGCCGTGGCAAAAACATCTACTGCAGAGCATGTCTGCAGTAGATGTTTTTGCAGTAACATCTACTGCTACTTTTGGAAAAAAAATCCAAGTGAAGGCCCATGAACAGTCCACAGTCCACAGTCCACAGCAGACAGACAGTTCCCAACAATATCTTGGCTCACCTGGTCGCCAGCACATGTGTACAGCAAGAATCGCCGCCGCTGTCGCGGCGGCGGCGGCGGCGCCGCCGCTGCAGTAGCACTAGCAGTATCCGAACCGTCAGCTTCCGGCCGTTGAGGTGTTGCAGGCGAACGCGGCGGTGGCGGACTGGATATCGCGAGGCTCAGCACTCCTTGTCGAGCCAGAAGACTGAGCTTTGCAAATAGAGGGGTGTTGATGACAGGCAGCAGAGTGTACGAATGCCGCGGCGGCGGCTGCGGTGAAATACAGCTGGCGTTGCCCGGCTGGCTGGCGGCAACGGCAGAGGCAGCGGTGACGGGGCCCGAAGCCGCCGCTGACGCCACTGCCGTACAATTTGAAGCACCAGAGGCCGGAGTTCCGCTGAGGTCTCCAGGCACAATGGGCAACGAGGGGGCGGCGACGCCGAGGTTTGCACCATGGCTGGTGATATCCACGACAGCATCAGTTGCATTGTACGGATATGTACGAGCAGCCAGGAGCCCAAGCGCCGCGGCGGCTTCCGCGGAGAAGGCTAGGATGCAGCCCGCCACGCCGCTTGACGGCCGCGGGGGCGGCACCAGCCTCCCCCGCCGTCGCCGCCGGGGAATCTCGGATCGGCCTGTGCTTACACTGCTGCTGCGGCTGCTGGTTCCAATATTACTCATGCCGTTTTGATTGTCATTGTGATGGGTGCCGCCGCCGTCGCCACCGCCATTATGAAGATTACCATCGACGGCGGCGACGGTGTCGGCACAGGAACTGGCGTCTGCGCCGGCGTCAGCATTGGCGTTGGCGTCGACGTGGCCAGAAACCGTCCAGCCCGCGCAAGCCGACGGCAGAGCCAAAACATCCCAGCCGATACCTAAGACACCGCCGCCGGGGCCGCCGCTACCGCCGCCGTCGCCGTCGCTAGCATCGTCGTCACGAACTGACAGTACGACAGCGTCTGTAGTATCCTTGGCTTCGCTGTCTACATCTCCTGCCGTCTTTGCCGCCGTCGGGACACGTCGACGGCGCAGCTCCGTCAGGCCGTCAGCTAGGTCCGACAGCCACTCCTCCCGGCTGACGTACACGCCAGTACACGCCATGGCATCGCCGCCGCCGCCGCCGCCGTCAACGCTGCTTTTAACAGCATTAAGATACTTATTTCCCCAGGGTACGACACCTAGAAGGGATTCCCGGCGCATGGGTACCGCCGTCTCCGTCTCCGCCGCCGCCGCTGTCACATCGACGGAAGCACTGACGATGCTCGTTGCCGTTAATGTACCGCTGCGCCCGTCAAACGAGTCGACCAGGGCTGATAGGGTGGCATTTATTTCGACCATATCGCGCCCTGCGAAGATAGGTCTTTGCGGGCGGCTGGGACCCGATTTCATTGGCGGCGGCGACGCTGAGGTCGCCGCCGCTGCCGCCACCACAGCGGCGGCGCTGCTGACGCCCTCCCGCCGCAGGGCTCTCTCCAGGGCACCGATATCCGCCGCCGCCACCCACCCCACATGGTCTGTGATGACGGCACAAGCCCCCGCGCTCCCTCCTCGGGCGGCTGGCGGCGGTAGTAGCAGTCTAGGTTCGGTCTCTGCGGCAGCCATCTCTCGCGCTACTGCCAGATCGTGCGCATGCTGCTGCTGCTGCACTGGCGGCGGCGGCGGCAGTAGCAGCTCGCTGCACAGACGCAGGGCCGTCAGGTGGGCCCTATACGCCAGCGCCTCCATGGGCCACACGGAGTTGTACGGCGACAGATCTTCCTCCGTCAGCACGACAGTTCCCGCATTGCCATCGCCGCTGCCGCGATTGCTCCCTTTCTCCATCTCCGCTGCCTCCGCTGCCTCCGACCGGTTGGTCCTCAGAAGGTGTTGCAGCTTCCGCCGCCGCCAACCGTTCCAACCGTCTAAGGCACCTTGAAGCTGCGTTTGCTTTGCCTCGAGCTCCGGCTGCATCTCCTCCCGCTCTCGCTGCTGCTGCTGCTGCTGCTGCCGCTGCACTACTTGATGGGTTGCTGCCAGGCCGCCTGTCCCCGAAACCAAGCCATCAGGCCCCAAGACCCCCAACAGCTGTCCTAAAATCCGCCGCCGGCTGCCCGCGCCGCCTCCGCCACCGCTGCGATCATCGCCTTCAGTGCCTTCGTCATGATGTGTCGTATTTGCCGCTGACGTCACCAGTCGGTAGCTCCAGAGGCAAAGTGCCGTCGACCCAAAATGGTGCGACATGCTGGCCGCCCCGCGCCGGCCGCTACTGCCGCGGACGGAAACTGACGGCGGCGGCGGCGGCTGTGGCGGCGGCTGCGGCGGCTGCATCACAGATGCTGGCGGTACCGCAACACGGCGGCGAGGCCTACTATGGCCCTTCCCCCCTGCTGTGGACCTGTACGGGTGGGACGAATCCGATGACCCATGGGTCGCCTCCGCCGTCGCCGGCGCTGCTTTGTGGCTGCTGCTATTGCTGCTGCTGACGTTACTCTTGCGCCCACCTTTGCTGTGGTGGTTACCGCTCTCTTTGCAGGTTGCAATTCGGAAGACTATGTCGAAATGCTGGCACAGCAGGGCTTCCAGTACGGCTTCGTGGTTGGAATGATCGCCGGCTGGGGCCCTAGGGAGCTGGGGCAACGGCTCTATTCTGGAGGCAATTGAGTAAGGCAAGGAGGTGATGCCCTGCAGTGGGCCATCAGGCACCAAGGCAACTTGTCGCTGAGGCAGAACTTCCACTGCTCTTCTGAGGAGTGCTGATGCTGCGCTCGACTTGCGGCGGTCGTGCTGCTGTTGCTCTTGCTGACCGATGACCGCATTTGCTTGCGCGCGATGAAACACGGATATGACTTGTAACAGGAATGCCAAAAGGATGACCATGTCTTTGTATAAGTAGACAAGAAGCGAGCAGGCTTTGGAGATGCAAATGCTGGAGATGAAAAGGAGGCGCGCGCGCGTGCGCGCATCACTATCTACAGGAAGCCCCGGCCAGGAGCAGGCCAGCTCCTACAAATGACGTTGTGTCATTCCTTGGACGGCAATGGACGGTCACAACTCTGAAGAAAATGCTCTCAACGAGTAGAAAGAATCCCATGATCACGCACGCTCACAGCGAGGCGTCAGGTAAATCTTGAATGTTTTGCAAAGCGTTGCAGCAGCCGCTGCTCCTTCTTTGCTGCTGAACGAAGAAAGGAAGGCAACGAATAGCGTTGCACTTGCTTTGTCGTATGATGAAGAAGGGATATTCACACGCTTTAGCAAAAGCACTTCGTTTGGTTTGTGCCTGCCAGGGCGGTCACAGCTGAGAACGCGGAGTCGCATGGGACTTATCGACGGGTTCCAGTATGCCATCTGGGAAGACCTGGTACGATTTTGTGAAAAAATAGCTTCACCTGTGGCCATTACCCTGGCCGTCCCTATCTTCCCCGATGCTTCGGGGCCCCCTCATCCTTCTCACTCCTGCCGAATCAGTCGAGTTTTTCGGGTCCAGTACCCACCACACAGCACCCAGTCAAATCAGCAGCGTAACTGTAACAACCACACACAGCAGCGAACAGCTGCATCAACTCCGCTCCAGAATGGCTTGCTAGTCACTTTAGCCGCGTCCATCACCGTCCACTAGCGTGTAGATGCATCCACCCTTTTACGGTCGATAGAAAATTTGATCCTACTCCTTGGCTGGATTAATCCTGGAATCTACTGTGGACACTATGCCACGCCTAAGCAGTTTTGCTGTGTATGTAGCCGTACGTCATACATATCATCAACAACAACTTGAATCCCAACTAATCCGATGGCCGGATTTTCTGACTGGCGAATAGTTTGAATTAAATTATTATACGGCCATTAAGAGCAGCCATATTAGTCAAGCCTTAGTATTATCCCACGTAATCCACAAGATAGGGCTGTGTACTTTCGAAAAATGCCCTTGGTTCCGCCCTCGGGTAGCTCGCCGTCACCGCGAGCGCGCGGTTTCTTCCGAGACAGCTCTCCGAGCAAAAGATGCCTCTGCTGAGCACTTACACAGAACAGGTGCTGCGCTCGCTGCACCTCGCTTTGCAATCTCATTTTACTCGACGCATCTTGCAAATCTTTGCGGTTTGATTTGATGGCTGCAAAATGGGCAATTTCGGTCGGTACAACCCGCTGCGTTCGTAGTAAATGGGTTTACAAATTTTGCAATTGTCATGAGGTGTCATGTGTGGTAAGCCTAGCGCCTACGCCGCAGGGGTGTACGTACATACGAGCTTGTAAGCGCTCTTGGATTCTTGTTCCGGCATCGTCAAGACATAAACTCTCCACGCTGTAACAGGCTATCCACGCACTTCTGATACCCTCTCACAACCCGTACACGCGATCAGGCGCGTGCCCAGTTGTAATCATACATGCATCATACATGCAGCTGCCGTAATTTGGAGGATTCGCGTGTGCAGCCCGATTTACCAACCAGAAGCAGACGCAGAAGACGCATCACATACGAGCGGTGTTTCGTGCCCCTCATAAACATACACATTCCCCCAGTAGGCAGTGAGGATGAGGACCACCTCTTTCATATCCAACAGCTCACGAAGCTCTCGTCCCATCCGTCCACTCCTAAAGGATCTCCACCACCACCCCTACCCCTCTTTTGCCCTCCTCCCCCGCCTCTATCTCGCCGCTCCTTCCCCTCCCGCCTCTCGTCCCCTGCTCACTCCCCTTCCCTTGCGAATCACGTCCCCCCTCCATGGAATCACGCAGTCGCCGTTTCCGTCTCCTCTGCGACAGTTTTCTGTTGCCCGCTGGTCACGACCTCTCGGAATCGCTCCATGTCCTTTTGGATAATGCCCTCCACAAGCGGTGTGAGAGCCTGTGGGCCCGGCGTTGGAATCGTAACGCAATGTTTTGAGACCTCGGACTACACATACAACGTTTCAAGTCCCTCAGCCCGAACCGAATCAATCCTAACAGACAATTTATTGCTCTTAGCGGCTCTCTTACGCGAGCTTGAGCTTCGTACGACTAATTCATTGTGCACGAGCATTTCCGTACTACCGAATTTCCTGCCACTTATTCACTCACATTTGCAAACGGCACGAGCGCATTGGGCACCTCGTACGAGATGATGAGCGTGATGTTGCAACTGGTGGGTGATGTTCGGACGAACTTGATCTGTCCGCGGTTTTGGATCTCGATACCTGCGTGCGGCTCCATTCCGTTGTTTCATCATTTCCATTAACAGCAGCTCACCCCCCCCAAGCACCCCGAAGCGAAACGGCCCCCAAGTCAAAATACACTGACTGCTCACACGAGACGGCAAGCGGTAACACATCGCAAGCGCCGGGGATGGGATGGTGCTTATAGGGTTTACACGCTAGGTGCGAGCTATGTAAGCCCCAGGTACGCGCCAGGGGATTTTGCATTACCGCGATAGAGGAGGCAACCCACCTCAACGCCAGCGGGGGATCACCGGAATTAGGAAAAACAAAGGACGGATAGGGTCGAGGTCACCGGCAAACTAAGGACCGCGCTAGGCTGCCCCCTTGCTGAATAACCATTCCCTGCACCTGTCAGTGCGCCTATCTGTCTGTCTGTCTGTCTCTGCCTCCTGAACTACACAAACTCGCATCCCAAAGCCAAAACCCCGCTAGCTAGCTCACTGGCAGTTCCCCGTCCACCCGTCGTACCACCCACCTAGTGATGCAGATCCCCGCTCCGAAACCCAGTGGATCTTGTTGTTCTTGACGGGCGGTAAGTTGCGAGCCAGCCAGGAGAACTCCCAATCCCGCCCGAATTGGTGGGTGGCGAGGGTCCATCGCGACATGCGGGGGTCCTTATCAAGGACCTGAAGCAGCAAGAGCACGTGCAGCAGGGTAGGTCAGGAGGCATGGGGGGGGAGGGGGGGGAAAGACGAACCACGAATGAGTAAAGCTGCTGCCAAGTAAAACTAAGTGCTGCGGCAGATGTGAGGAGGGGTGGAAGACGAGCCACAGACGGGTGAAGCGGATAGACCAGGGATTTCCACTCCAGGTGGCGTGACGTGGAAAAGGAGAGTGGCTAAGAGGGGGCAGGAGGTGACCAGAGTTGTGACGTTTCCCGCGGGAAGGGGGTTCAGCCCCCTTCCAATGATGGGCTTGGGTCCAGGCCAGGACAGAGACCGGCGGGTGTGGGTGGTAATGACAACGGTTCACCAGGCCATCCAGAGTCCTCAGCAGCCGATCTCATTGCTTGTGACCGGTTCCCAACACGCCTATTCGCTTGCGCTCTGTGAGAAAATCTGGATCCAGAACCAGATCCGGATCCGGCCCATGGGGACTCAACCACCTTCGTGCCAAACCCGGAACTAGGTCGCTATCAGTCAGTTTGAGTTTAAGTACTGCACTTGAAGCGAAACACATCTCTCGGCTCTGCTCCACGAAGTCGCTGTAGCAGTGCCTAACGACCAGTGCACTCGACTGTACACAGCTCCCCACCCGGGCGGCACCGCAACCCACGCCCAAACTGAGCATCCGCACGTCGAGACGAAGACCCTGCGTCTTGCGTCCCTGCTGCATCCGCGGCCGCTCGGAGTCTAGAACCAAGTCTAGCCGTACTTCCCCAACCCCTGCCCAGAGGTTTGCAGTATACCAGTATGTACGCACTTCCGTTACGGAAAACCCCGCCTCCCGCCCTTCCCCCCCGTCCCGTTTCATTGAACTTTGAACGTCGTCGGCAGTCCCTGCCTACCTCGCTTCTTCTATCCCCGCTTCACAAAATATCCCACACTCCCTCTCCCTCTCCCTCTGCCGCTGCCCTCATCCCGTTCCCCTCCTTGCACCGGAGCCCGCTGGGGCCGTTTCCGACTGGGACTGGGTCGTATCATTGTCGGGGGGTAGGCAGCTCTCTGCGTTCCCTTCCCCCTCCCCCTCCCTTCCTGGGTTCCCGCCCCCCGGGGACTCCCGCTTAAAACACCCCGTGACGCCGCCCTACCCCCTACCCCACGCATACATACATACATACATACATACATACACACACACCTTGACTGATTTGATCCAGGGCATCCACAACGGGATGCGCTCGCGGTCCTCCCACAGTGACCAACACGTCTCCAGGGGGGCCGGAACATCCACCTGGGCCCTATGCCGTACGGGTAACAGAGAGCCGTACGGGTAGCAGGACATACGCGGCAGTAGCGGCAGGACCAGGATAACCAGCAGCGGAAGGTGGTCAGTGCAATGAAGACGACCCCCACCCCTACCCCCACCAGAAGGGCCGCTTAGGAGGCGTTAGCGAGGTGGAGGCCAAGTCAATTATACTAAACCAGCAGCACAGCACGGAAGAGATGGAGCACAGAAACACGTGGGGTCCTCTGAGGGTTGCTTCGCCGCTCCTAGCCGCTTACCCCGGGGTCGTGCCTACTCCGCCCAGTCCCTTACACCTTCTTCCGTCCCTCCCTGCAGTGGTCTCTTCCCGCCTGACCCGTAACCTCACACGCGCCCGCCCATGCACCCTCCTAGGCTCCGCCTTTAATGCTGCTGCTTTTGCTGCTGCGGCCCTACTTGTTTTCAAGCCATTGCGCCATGCTCCATCGCATGGAGCCGTTGTTAGGAACTCCAACCAGGCCGCGACCGCTGAAGGACGTCTTGCCTTGAGGCCCTGCACCGGTACCGCACGGAAAAAGAGGGAGATCGTATGGTGGTCACATGGCGCGCGCAATGCTTGTGCAACACCTCTTTCGAAAAATCCCAGCACAGACCTGACGCGCTCCGCGAGCGAGCTATAACTTGGGCACCAGATGGCACCTGCATAGCGCCCGAGTCACATAGGCTAGCGTTGCATCGCTCGCCGGGTCATCCGTTGATGCGTAAGGCAGTCGTGGCGTAGGCTCACCCGTTGGCGCTGTGTTACTAACGCGTTGGCGTGGCTAGCGATAGGCACGACAGGCATCCTTGTGACAGTCAGTGCTTAAGCAGCGCCGAGGCCGTCAATCCTATGAGTCGACGGGACTAAGTCCTGGAGTAGGGGATGTAAACGCCAACACTAAGAAAACTTAATGTTCCTTTCGAAAAAGCGAGATATGTGGCTGGGCTTGCGATGGCCAGTGTCGTAACTGTGATCACGGACCCTAAGCGTTAAGAAACATGTAACAGAATAAAAGTTAGATTTCAATGCTGCCTTTAATTCAGGTAAGCGTAACACTGAAACATGAGCTATCGGCCGCTTGCATGATGCCGTGGATGTCGTGATTCACTCAAAAGCCCTAAGTTCATGCTTATGCGTAACATAAGGCTTTAAGTAACTGTGTTTACAATGCGCTCGTGAGCAGTATCTTCGCTGTAAACCTTGCAAGATGAATGGAAGGCCAGGCGGTTCTGGCTGGTTGGATTGGCTGAGTAAACGTCCTTTTTACTCACCTCCAAAAGAAAACGCGAAAGCAAGCAGTGGTATCAGAGGGCGAGGAAAACAGGACTGCACCCATTCCCAAAGTTTGTCCTGCAGCAGTGTGCGGCACACCTTGCTTCAGAATCCAGAACCCTCCCGAAGCAAGCATTTAAGTGAGTACAGCCAGGTGTTACAAGACAAGAAAACACGTGCATGGGTGTCGGGAGGAAAACGAAATATGGCTTCCTCTGTTATCGTGTCGTGAGGGGCCACAGTGCAACATGGCATGGGGCAACATGTGTTCCCATGCGCTATTTGTGCAAATTTTTGGGCTGCGGACTTCTTTCTGTTACTGCGACCGGCATGAGGCCAAACCTGTGGATTCATCGTATGTTTGGAGCGCGGGTCCCCTCACATCACTACTCGGTTCCATGCAATAAAACTCGCAACAAGTTATCCCACGCGTAAGGCTACACAACGTACTGCTTTAACGGCTCACTTCTTGCCGAAGTATCCACATACGCGTCCCTGCAAAGTTTACGACATCATCGTATACATCAACACAAAATCGCATATCTTCCACAGACGCCACGAGAAGCATGCTTTGTCCTCCCCTGCTATTAATCATCAACCACAAACTAAACAAACCACGGATGGCCAGGCCGCAGGCGTTCCTTGCCGCCCACACATACACCCACATACATATAGATAGACACATATGGCCACACATCAGCCTGGACGGACACTATCACCGGTTCCAAGCGCAACCCGCGCTCCCCTTCCTCCTGCACAGCACCATCGCTGCATCGGGAAAAGAGGGGTAGCGGTGCAGCCACACACAAGCCCCCACCCTCTCCTAGCCGTATGCCCAGCCCTCAGGCCCCAAGTACAAGCCGTGCACGGTACACATGCACCCACATCCCTGGAGCCCTGGAGACTTTCAACAGGACCCCTCCCTGCCACCGTAAACAAGGTGGCACGACAGCAAGAGGGAGGGAGATGCACATGCGGACGCCGAGTCGTGAACCCAATATTTCCTTTCCTCCATATCATGGGTTGAAATCCATATGCGTGCACGCTCATCATGCTTTCATTATACAGCACCAAGAAACATTAAAAACACAAGAAATTCAACACCTCCAAAAGAGGTGCAATGTGCGAACTAAGCGAGGCCAAACCGTCTAAGTGCATATGAGCCGTCATGTCCCTCATTTGTCGCCGATGCCATTGAGGCTCTATCCGACAGCCCACAGCCCTGTCGCTTCACAGCCAAGCACCGAGCCTAGTTAGTTGCCACGCCAGGCTGCCGTACATCTATCATAGGGCGCTCACGCAGAGGCACAGGGCCACCGTAACGACCGCAGAGTCTGTGAGATTTTTGCTGTGTGATACCGTACATTCAGGCATGGACAAGGAATACAACAAACCTACACACATACACGTGTGTGAACGACACACACGCGATGGTAAAACCCCTCCATGCAACTGGAGGCGCAGCATTCGGTTGTTGTTCTGCAGTAAGGAATACTAAGAATCTAAACAAGGTAATAGTAATACTGCTGATAGTAATACTGCTGATGAGGCACGTCGTGTTCGGTTATTCAACCGTTTCCGCCGTCGCACCATCTCTGTTGTACCGTCCAGGAATGAGCACAAGGCACCAGGCACGCCGCGCCACTCACCACCAATCCACCGCAGTTTAAAACCGCCGCATCGGCACGGGTACAGCACACACACGCACATACCTGGCCATGTTCAGTAAACAGAGTTTGTGCAGCAAAAGCCCCACATGTGTCCTTCCGTCGCTTCTAAAACCCTCCCCGCCGCACACGGCCGCCACCTTCAGCTACCGCTACCGCTACCGCTGCCACTGCTTCACCCCCATCAAATCGTCTACCAACCTAAGAAATAATCCAAAGTTCCGGAACAACAGATAAGGCCTACCGCGTCCTCATCGCGTCGATAACGCAATAGCATCAATACGCCAGGAATTGGTTGTTGCTACTGCTGCCGCCGCCGCCGCCGCTGCTGGCCACCGACCGTTGGGGTATCAACGACTTGCTACTGCCCGACCTGGATGGCTCACGGGAGCCCCCCCCCGACCGTGTTTTCGGTGCTGCTGCTGCCGCTCCTCTGGCTGCAGCGGCGTGAAAGGCGGCAGCAGCAGAAGAAGACAAGGAGGAGGAGGAGGCGGAACTCGGAGAGGCGCTCCGATTGGAGCCGCCGTCGTTCAGAGTGTCCCATGGGTCGGCACCGGGCTGGTTCTGCTGGGTCAGAGATAGAAAGCAAAAAAGGGCGGGAGGAGGACACGTGCGTGTGCGTGTATGGTGGCTTTTGTTGTTTGGAGTAGGGTTTTGTTGACAGGTGGGCCCTCGGCTTACGGGGGGAGCGGGGGAGCGGGGGAGGAGGGTAAGGAACGAGCAAGAGGTGTGTGTGTGTGTTTATGTTTCTGTGTGTATTTCTCGCCAACCTCACTACCGCACACGGCACCAGGGGCACCAGGGGCACCAGGGGCCCGAAATGCTCTGACTAAAAACAATTCTAGGAAGGGTTTTCCCGGCCCCTTGTGCGTATCGCACGTGTATCGATGTCCTCCGCCGGTGACGAATTTGGGACTGGCGTAAATCCTGTTGGTAGCTTCCTATTCTGGAAACATCCGGTGCCTCTTCCCCGCTCGGGATTGCGTTCTGCACCATTTCGGTTAGAAGGGAAGGAGGAGCTCTTCTGTTTACCGTGTCCCCGGGTTCGCTCATCATCCGGCTCTTTGTTGTAGCTTACCCCCCCACCACCATCGCCTCCAAACGACCACACGACGACAAACGGCACCCCGCGGCCGCCCCTCCGTCCGCACTTCCCACCTTATGATCAGCGGGCAGCGGCTTGGGCAGAGGCACTCCTGGCCGATCAAAGGAGATGCTGCCGTACACATGCTGACTGGACCCGCCCTGCAACCGTCGGGACGGCGTGGAAGGTACGGATAAAGGTGAGGTTCCCTTGTGGCTTGGGTGAAGCCACGGTAAACAGCTGTGCAAGGGACTCAGCAGGCAATGCATGCCAGGGAAGTCATGGACAAAGCGAAGTAGACAGACAGACAGACAGACAGACAGACAGACAGACAGGCAGACAGACAGACAGACAGGCAGACAGACAGACAGACATGACGACGCAAATAAAGAGAATCACTCACCGCCGACGCGCGCACCCCTCCCTTCCCGGGGTCTGGTGTCGCCAACGCGCTCTGAGAGGACCTAGCGCTGCTGCTCACACTCTTTACGCTGCCCGGTCCGCTCTTCGACGCGACGGCATACAGCCCAGATCCAGCAGACGACGACGCCCCCGCCGGACCGCCGACCGCAGATCCCCCGGGTGTCGGCCGTGTGCTCCGATTGGTGTTGTTACTGGTGTTGGCGGCGGCGGCGGCGGCGGCGGTTCTGTGGGAGACGCCGCTTCGAGCGACACTCCCGACGTCGCTGGCCGGCCCCCCAGGAGTTCGGTGAGCCGCCGCTAGCGGCGGTGACGGCGGAACGATTTGGCTGCTCCCTGACGTTGCCTTGTGTTTGAGACCGTGTTCCATGCTCCCAACGTCACTGCTCGGACCTGGCGGCATAAGGCCCCGCACCGAGCCGTCCACCGTCAAGGCCTTTGGTGAATGGAAAGAGGAGGAGGAGGAGGAGGAGGAGGAGCGGGCCTTGGCCCCATTTCCTGCCTTCTCAGCCAAAGGCCCCGAGCTGAGAACCGAGCC